CAAACCATTCTAGGATTCTATGATTCTAAGAAGGACATGGACCTGTTGGAGTGGGTCTAGAGGAAGGCCACAGAAATGATCAGAGGGCTGGAGCACCTCTCCTCTGAAGACAGGCTGAGAGAGTTGGTGGTGTTTAGCCTAGAGAAGAGAAGGCTCCAGGGAGACCTTATTGCAGCCTTTCAATACTTAAAGGGCCTTATAAGAAAGATGGGGACAGACATTTTAGTAGGGTGTGTAGTGATAGGACAAGGGGTAATGGTTTTAAACTAAAAGAGGGTAGATTTAGACTAGAAATAAGGAAGAAATTTTTAATGATGAGAGTGGTGAAACACTTGGAACAAGTTGATTGGTGAGGTGGTAGATGCCCCATCCCTGGAAACATGCAATGTCAGGTTGGACTGGGCTGTGAGCAACCTGATCTAGTTGAAGATGTCCCTGATCATTGCAGGGACAGTTGGATTAGATGACCTTTAAAGGTCCCTTCCAACCCAAACCATTCTATGATTCTATGATTCTATAATCCTGATGAAAAAGTGCCGTACTCATATGGCTTGTGGGGCCTGGTTTGGAAATAGTGCTAGGAAGTGACAAAGCTGGAGGAATATATGTGAATCGTGTTTGGAAACAACCATAATTTAGGATGATCTCATTTCATACTGAGTCTGATTTCCCAGTGTGGTGAGAGGATTAAATTTCCCAAAGCTATTCACATGTTAAAAAATGTTGTGACGTGTGAAATCAGATAGTAAAGAGTAAGCTTTCTTACTTCCTGTGCCATTTTTACGTAATCCTGTAACTTGCAGTTATTCTGTCCTGATCTCACATTCTGTAAAATAATGATGTTAATTAATGGTCTGACAGTGTTATGTGTAAGGGCTTTCTTGGTTATGGCTCTGCCTAATGTGATGAGATTCCCATGGTTTAGGAAGGAAGGGACAAAGGGATGTCTTGTTATGTGGAAGCAGAATTAATATTCATCTGCCTTCCTTTTTATCTCATCTTGTGTGGTAGGCTGCTGTGGTTTAACCTGGCTGGCAGCTAAAACAACCACACAGCCGTTCACTTACTACCCCTCCAGTTGGATGGGGGAGAGAATCGAAAAGAAAAAGAGGTAAAACTCATGGATTGAGATAAAGACAGTTTAATGGGACAGAAAAGGAAGACAATAATAATGATGATGGTGATGATAAAAGAATATACAAAGCAAGTGATGCACAGCACAATTGCTCACCACCCAGAGATGATGGTCAGCTAGTTCCTGAGCCGTGCTGCCTCCCAGCCATCCCCCCAGTTATATAGAGCATGACGTCATATAGTATGGAATATCCCTTGGGCCAGTTTGGGTCAGCTGTCCTGGCTGTGTCCCCTCCCAGCTTCTTGGGTGCCCCCCACCTTCTCCTTGGCAGGGCAGTATGAGAAGCTGAATAGTCCTTGACTCCTTGGCAACAGCTAAAGTATCAGTGTGTTATCAACATTATTCTCATCCTAAATCCAAAACACAGCACTACACCAGCTGCTAGGAAGAAAATTAACTATATCCCTGCTGAAACCAAGACACTGGCAATAACTTGTACCTGCTGGTCCTGCATGGGACAATTTAGGAATGATCTTTTTCTCCTCCTAGGGTTCGAAAGATCTTGAACTTGCGAGTATTTGAAGATGAAAGTGGGAAGCACTGGTCCAAAAGCGTGATGGATAAACAGTATGAAGTGTTGTGTGTGAGCCAATTTACTCTCCAGTGCATCCTGAAAGGAAACAAGCCCGACTACCACATGGCGATGCCCACAGAGCAGGCGGAGTGTTTTTATAACAACTTCCTAGAGCAGCTAAGAAAAGCCTACAAGCCAGAGCTTATTAAAGGTAAGGGCAAAAGGTTGGTAAGGTCCTTGATGTGACCAGTGAACCTTGTTTGTAACTGCTCTTCCCTAATCATTACTTTCTTTATTCTACAATTTTCTGTCTGTGTTGAAAAGTAGCTCTCTTTATGCAGCAGAAGATATGGGGATGTTCTGGTATTTTCACCTGCAGCCCGGCAGGGTGATCACTCCAGTCTTCCTGGCCAAGCTGTTTCCTGGCATTTGTCTAGAACAATTTGACATGTAGATGCTCCTGTGTTGTTATTGGCTGTACAGCATGAACAATGACTCTGATAACATAACCCAGAGAGACTGCAGCCATGAGAACAAGCTCTGGAATCAGGCTCCCTCAAAGGCTGGATGTTTTATGCAGTGTAGCTAGATTAACTCAGGAGGAACATTTTTTCTGAGGCATATGTGGTTAGTCAGGCTTGAAGGTGTCACCAGTGTGTGATGGACAGTGTAGCTCCATCTGTCACTTTAGTTTTACATTCTGTTATATGGTAATGATGACAGTGGGAGGTGTTATGTGGTACTTGAGAACAGTGTTTGATTTAGGCTATCTTTTCTCAACTCTATGCCCTGTATGCAACAGTTTTCTTTTTACCAGAAAATGCCAGGCTTCCCTTTGCATTTGCGCTCTATCCACCCTTAATCTTTACTGTTTTGCTTTTCTGTTTACTTTCTGGCCATTTTTCTATTTAGACTTGATTTTTTTATACACTTGCCCAGAAGATAAGTGTCTAGAAAAGACTATTTTTAAAATGGGGCCTATTAATAGATAACAGTCAGCCTTACTTTCCTTATGAGGACAAAAAGGAGAAAAAAGGCAGAAAACTGGTAGCTGGGGAAAGATTTAGAGGCTAATTCCATATTGACTGTAGATTAAGGTAGTTATCCCAGTGCTTTCCAAGGACGCTCAGTGAAAGGCACACACAAAATGTCCATCTTGTGTCAGCTTTCCAGTACCTTGATATATTCTTCCAATCAACTTTTGTTGATGATAAGGAATGCATTTCTGATACCTGTTCCCTGCATCCTTTTCAGTCCGTAACATAGAAAACTTCTGTTCCAATGGATTTGGAGTCTGTGCTTTATGAATCTTTATCTTTGTTGAGTGATGACTAAGTTAGGACCCATTCCTGTGCCTCTGAAACTGGTAACAGAACTTCCTAGGAAGTCAATAGGTATAAGATTTGCTCTGGTAAGATTTGATCGAGTTGGACCCTTATGTCCTGGAAAACTAAAAGCAAGTACGGACTTTCTTCTTTCATGTAAATGAGGTGTGGAAAAATTAATATATCTTCATATATCTACATCTTTATTCTTGGGCTTTGGAAAATGCTTTGTTTCTGAAATACTTTCAATCAGTTTATATTTTGACAGCAGGTTTTTGAAGTTCTCTTTTCAGTGAACAACAGTGAGTGTTGTCACTCTGGAATAAGTCCTCTTATCTGGAGCAAGAGTGCCCACATGGAGTTAATTAGGAATAACTTTCCAAGTAGACAAGCTTAGAAGTAACTTCTGAATAAAACCAATGTGAAGTTTCTAGGTCATGAGGCTTGAGATATGTCCAAAAAATATTCTGAAAGTAAATCATATCTCATTTTCAAGTCTTTACATCTCAGATGTGGCTTGTCTGTCTCACCTCAGGTAGAGATCTCCTTTGCCTCTGAAGAAGGCATGCATGCCAGATTCTAAGGGAAAAGGAATTCTAAGAGGTGTCCAGCAGAATAAATTTGTCATTTTAATTATACTTGTAGGATCCTTTTTTATTGCAGAGGATGTTGCAAGGAGGTGACTTGATCAGTCAAGAAGCCTTAAAGCGGGGAAAGGTGCTTACTATGTTGAAGAGCATTGTGGTATAAAAAGCAGGAAAATAAATAGTATTTAAGGGTAAGTTGGTAGTGTCTCCCATGGACAGTAGAGGGTCATGTCATAAATTTACCCAAAGTTGCTGGGGTAACAAGCAACATCCAAGGAGATTGGATTCTTTCTCCTCCTTTCCTTCTGACTGAAAAATGAAAATCAGTCCAGACAGACTCTTGGGACAGAGAGATGGAAGAGATGATGTCTTCAGTTTCCTTGCAGTCCTGTGCAGAAGAGGGATTTGTCTGCATCAGCATTCAAGGCCAGAACAATCAACTCTCTTGCAGCCTGTCTGCCGAGTGCCACAGGGGTGATGTGTTCCACCAGTGTGCTCTTAGGTGAATGCAAAATGCAGTGGTACCACAGATGTCAGTCTGTTTTAGGGGAGTCAGCCTTGTTCCGCAACTCATCTCTTCGCGAAACGATAACACACAAATGAAAAATGCCTTCTCTGGAAGTTTATATGAACTGCCATATACTGACACTACGGTAGACACTGGGACAAAGGAAGGAAGGTAGGAGCATGTTTTTGAGGCACTGAGGGAGATTCTGCTGAAGAAGCATCTCTTCCTAAAGAGGAATTAGGTGTTGTTTTAAGAAGACATTGTGAAACTAGATTTTAGCTTTCCCTTGTTCTTTCAGGCAAGACCAGACCCTGAAGCTGCAGAGAAGAAAAGCTGTGTTTTGGGTGAGGCCACTTCTTGAAAAGAGCTATGAGGACCGTCAGACTGCTATAACCCTTTGGTTTTGATGTATAAGGAAGGTGCCAGCCCAAAAATACAGAAGTGTCCCATGAGGAAAGCACATACTGCACAGGGACCATGGTCCCTGAAACTAGAGGACATGTCAATTTGTGTAAGGGAGAGTGGCAGCTACTTCTGACAACATCACCACCTTTGCAGTATGTTTGAAAGCTTGAAGATGAAGGTGTGTGGTGGTCCACGAGACATTTTGGATTAAGACCAATAAAGGGAATTTGGGATGTGTGAAGAAATTCTTCCTCAGTTGGCTTTTAAAATCTTTTCAGAGAATGAGGTTGCTGAGACTGAAACCCGCACTGCCATTCATATTGTGGTGGTTGCAAGGTGCCAAGACCCTTCCTGTCTTTGAGAGGAAGATGTGGAAGAGAGAGGCTATAGAGAAGGCCAGCATTAACAGACATTTCTGGTTTAAGTACTGTTTCCATTAACTCTAAATCTTAAACTTTCTGACCTGTGATTCACCTTGACCTGGGGTGACCTTGGATCAAAAGACTGGAAGTTTAAGTATGAGGAGAATGGGAGGGAGCTGTTACAGAAATATGTCCCTTGACAGTAGTTCTGATGCCGAAACAAGATAGAAAGGTCTTATGAGATGGGAGTGCCTTGAGTGTTCTGGTAAAGGTGGGGGCTTATTTGACCAGCCTTTGAAAAAAATAAGCCTGTGAAGGTTACTGGTTTTTTTAGGTCCATACATGCGTGGGAAGTGCAGAAGGCAGCCCTTTTAGCCACAGAAGTGACTAAAGTACAACGAGGAATGATATGATATGTAGAGAGCTATTTGGAAAGTTGTGCTCCCACTAATGAAGTTTAAGGTGGTATTTTTTGTTTATTATTTTGTTAAAGAAAGATGCATTAGTTTTGACTCACTTATGCGATCAACATGTAGGTACCTCTCTCCATATACACTGTAAATACAACAACCACCCTTCTAGGACCAGCAGCTCAAGTAGTGTCTGCTTGATCTTCCTAAAGAAGCAATATGACCATTGTCTAAGCATGTCAGTAGATCCTTCCCTCATGGTCTGCATGAAGGTATAAAGTCTTTTTTTTATTGTGCTTGTCAGATACAGAAACTGCCTGTTTCTGTGCAGGAATCAGTTCTGTGAGATTCTATGCTGTAGTCGTCATTTGTTCTCTAAGAGACTCTTACACGTTATGGTAGCTAGAGGTCAGATGCGCAGATACAGCTAACCAAAAGCAGCAAGCATTCTTCAAGCTTTTAGTTCTCAACTGAGTCATTTACAGACATCACTAAAAATGCATGCCTGTGTGATTCACCAGTGAAACGATAAGCTACAGGTTTAGGGAAAAACTTAGCTGGGTTTTCCCTGCAGGTTCTCATCTATCATGGGTGGCAAAGGGTTTGAAAACTGCTGGAAAATTATAATCACTAGTTTTTTGATTGCTCTGACATCTTTTCTCAGTAAAACCCTTTGCATGTTCCGGGCTTCTGCAAATTTATAACATGAGAACAGGTCTTTTTGATTTTTTTTGACTTGCTTTGTAATACTTTTGTCTCATAAATTTTCTGTTATTTTCTGTAATTATTTAGTAATTCTTCTTCTTTTGCACTGTTAGCTAGCATTCAGAACACACCGATCCTTTCCTGAAATACTGACAGCTTCATGGTATCTCTATTTACCTGATTTACCCAGTCAAGTCAGCTGCACCTTGTTAAAGCAGTAACTGTGCCAGTATCTTGCAATGTGCCATTCTTTGATGTCACCTCAGCCTCAATTGTCCCCTCCCTCCGGAGGGTACTGACCCTACAGTGGAGTTGTCAAATGGGAAGGCGTTTTCACTCCTGCTCTTAGGTAGTTCTTACATTATGTGATGCAAAACTGGTCTGCGTATACGCAAAGGAGCACAGAGGCAGGCAGAGGAACCCAAATTCTGGACTCAGAGGATTGCAAACCCTCTCTGAGGGGATATGTGTGATGCCCATCCTGGGGAGTCAACAGGAGTGGCTCTCTGGACCCCCTTTCGGACTGCCTAGGGATATGGGACACATGTGGGAAGAGAGCATTTCAGGGTCACACAGGACTCATTATGGGATGTTTAGGTGTGGAAGGCAGGGAAAGGGGTGGATCTAGGTGATTTGAGGAAGAACAAGCATGGGAAAATAAAGGGATATGGGTATAAAAAGGGATGGCCACATGTAAGCAATGGCTGGTTGGTACACTTGTGGCTATGCCCTGCACCTGATCAGCACAGTCTGCCTTGTCTTCTTACCGCCATTTCTATTTTCCTGGGTGAGGGACCTACTGTTTTATGTGCATGTGTGTGAATGGGTGCAGCAACTGGAGTGGGACTATGGGTCTGAGGCACGTGTCTGTGAGTGAAGGTATGGCACTGAGCACATACCCAGCAGGATGAGCTGGTGAGGAGCTGCAGTGGCCAGAGCCGGGTCTGGGTGTGCGTCTCTGAGTGTGAGACCACAGGAGGAGCTGGCTCCCGGAGGGACTAGAGCAGTCCTGGCCAGCTGCTGGAGAGGCCGGGGGTCTCTACGGATGAGACCTGTGTGGGTGTGTCTGTGTGTCTCTAAGGGTAAGACTAAAGGGGGACAGCAAACTGCCAGTGAGCTGGGGGGAGATGTGTGTGTGTACCTGTGTGCGAGGGGGTCTGTACCAGCAGCTGGAGCAGGGCTGCAGGCCTCAGGGACTTGTATACCCAGGTGCCAGCATCTAGGGTTGCCAAGATCCATGGAGCTACTGGGCAGACTAAGTGTCTAAGCCCAGCTGCTGGAGGGGTCTGCACTGTATATATCTACATATTTCCCACTAACAGACCTTCATCCTGATCAGCCAATGAGGGGTTCAAGATGAGGCTGTAGGTCATATTTGTGTTCATGTGATTGCTGAGTGTGTCTGTTGATAGCCGTGCAGCTGGCTGTGTGTGTATATATATGTGTGTGTGTGTGCAGCATACATGTGTTTGTGCATGTGTGCCTACCGGGAATACGTGCTCAGCTTTGCTACTGGTTGGACCTGGGGGTATGCAGCTGCAGGAGCCATGCCTTTATTGAGTTTCTAGATTCAACACCCATAACATTTCTCAGCCCATGCAAAACATTGAAGAAAATCAGTTTGGTCAAAGGAGCCTGAGTAGAGACAGCAAGCTGGGACACTGGGTATGTTCTCTTCTGCTGCCTCCTCTGTGGGGCAGCAAATGTCTGAGGAGTGCAGCTGGTAAAATTTTTGCTGTGGCTCTTCAGTGGTCAGTCCAGGAACCTTTTCCTTGGTTGCAGGACCATTGTCAGCAGACTCTTGTGCAGTGCTATAGTTTTTGGCTTTGCCAGAGCTTGTGTCTCCAGCTCATGGAAAAGCACTTGGGCAGTAGATCTGTTATGATATGGCCCATGTGCATACCTTTTATTTTTCCTTTTTTCAAAAGCAAATGCCACATTTCTATCTGATTCATGGGATGTGCCAGGGAGTGACTGAAAACTCTTCCAGAGCTCTTTGTTCCCAGTAACACGTTCATGAAGAATCAGGACAGTTTGGTTTGACCTCTTTTCAGTCAGGGACATCATGTGTTGCCGTGGAAGGCTGCTGAGTAGCTATACAATGTCTCATGCAAATATTCCCAGTGGGTGGTTGCTCCATTGAAGCTTGAGCCTACCGCTTTCAGCATGTTTTTGCTCACTGTCCAAGGTGGTACTGGAAGAGGTTTTGGTTGTGTTGCTGAGCAGGCTCCAGGCCTACCTTCCCAGTAAGTGAGGCTGTTCCAGTCTTTGGATAACTGCTGTCTGCTTGCTGCAGTACACCTTTTTTTCTTCCATGGATTTGTATTGAACTGGTAATATCTGTTCCTTTTGCTGTCTCTACTGGGAAGGTATAAAAAGGCTACTCAGGTGTGCAGGACAGAAGAGAGTACGTGGGAGAGAGAAGTCAAGTAGGCTCAGCCAGTGGTGGGGTGAGTTTGAGGAGTAGAAAGCTGGAGTAGAAAAAATGGAGCAAGGAAGCTAGCACAAAGGAAAATGAGATCTGAGGAGAAAACAGCATACAAAAGGATGGCTTTTGTAGACTATACAGGATAAAAATGTTATGAGTCTGTTGTGATGGAAACTTCTCAAATGCTTACCGAAAATATGGTCTGTGCCTCAGCTGGTGTGCTAACACCTGCCACTGATGACAAGTGACATAGGCATTTCTGATTTCATAAATGTATTCATGTGAAGTAGCCAGGGTTGAGGGAGTAGACACACTTTTTTGCCAAACTGTGACAAAGAATGGCCTAGGTTGCCATTCTACAGGAACGTAGAAATTGCTGTAGCAGATTGGGACTGAACTGTACACCAGTGTCCTGTTCTGGAATATTCAATGTCAAGTGCTTCAGAATAGACTCTGAGTCTTTTTATCTTTTGCCCATATATAAGGTTTCTTCAAAAGATCAGCTAGTTAGCTGCAGTTAGCTAGGCTTAGGTGTTACATCCTTTAAAATTTCATCTCCTGCCTGTGAGAACTATCCTGCGCATCTTGAACTGTGAGCACCTTGATTATCTGTCAACTTGTTTTGTTTTGTGGACATCACTGTACTTAGCTGCGTATTTATCATCTCCGAATGTCAGACCAGAGAGCTGGGTGCACACAGACTGTTTTTTCTTAAGTAGCTTTCTGCAGTTCGTTAGTTGGCTGACCTTTTATGTATTTTTTTTTCTCTTTTTAGTAGCACATTTGAGAGATTTTGGTTTGTGTTATCCTTTCAAGAGCCCTCAGCTCTTCTTGTCTCTTTCCTTTGCAGATGGCAAGTTTGGTGCCTATATGCAGGTACACATCCAGAATGATGGTCCTGTAACAATAGAATTGGAGTCCCCGGCTGCCACTGTCGACCCTAAACAGGTGAGTGAGCCAGAGGATCTGTCTGGAAAGGGTGGATGTATAAGCTGTACCTCCTCTGTGAATTTGTAGCATTCCTATAATGAAGCAGTATAGCTTTCCTTAGGCATGAGTACCTTGTGCTTCCTGTGCAGCCTCTGAAAAGTTAAATAATTGCATTGTTTTCTTCAGTTCCCTGGCCTGTTGATAGCTGTCTGTTGTCCTGGTAAAAGTCGTGCGTTGTGTAAAGCAAAACAGCTTTTTACAGTTTATTCTTTCCTATTGACTCATTAACTATGTTTTTAATGTGTCTGGGCCCCCTCCCTTTTTTTTTTAGTGAAGTTTCTTGACATTTAGGGCTTTAGCATGTGGGTGGCTGGATGAAATGATTAACTGGAGAGCTGCTTCTTTCTCCGAAACAACAAACAGCAAATTCAAGTCCTGAATTTTATGTCTGGAGTGGAGAGGAGAGTTAGCTTTGCTGAGAAACAGCACAGGCTATGCTGAAAACCAAATGCGATGAGTGATGAGGTTTTCTCATTCTGTAAACACAACAGTGACCAACTTTTCGAGGCTGAAAGAGAAGGGGGAGGGATTGTTACTCCCAGCTGCGTTTCAGTGAGGCCACACCAACCCTATCTGTTTAACACTTCACTTAACCTTGTTAAAATTGTTATTCCTATTTATAGGAAGGGCATGAGGGAGGACCCAGGAAACTACAGACCTGTTAGTCCAACCTCAGTAACTGGAAAAATTATGGAGAAGATGGTACTGGGTGCTATTGAAAGGCTTTTAAAGGACAATGCAATCATCAGGTGCACTCAGCACGGGTTCACAAAGGGAAAGTCCTGTCTAACTGATGTGATATCCTTCTATGATAAGGTCACCCACCTAGTGGATGAAGGGAAGGTGGTGGATGTAGTTTTCTGGATTTTAGTAAGGCTTTTGATAGTGTCCCTCACAGCATCCTTCTGGACAAGTTGTCCAGCTGTGGGATGAGCGGGTTCATGGTGCACTGGGTGAAGAACTCGCTGAAGGGTAGAGCTCAAAGGGTTGTGCTGAAAGGGTTGTAGTGAATTGGGCTACATCTGGCTGGCAGCAGTCACCAGCAGTGCTCCTTAGGGCTCAATTCTAGGGCCAGTTTTGTTCAGTATTTTTATTACTGATCTGGATGCAGGAATTGAATATACCATTAGTACGTTTGCTGATGATACTAAACTTGGATGTGCTGCTGATTCTCTCTAGGGACAAGAGGCCTTGCAGGGGGATCCGGATAGATTGGAGCATTGGACAATCATTAATGGTGTGAAATTTAACAGGAACAAATGCCAGATTCTGCACCTGGGATGAACTAATGCTGGACACAAGTATAATTTGGGAGATGAGTGGCTGTAGAGAAGCCCTGCAGAAAGGGATCTGGGGGTGCTGGTTGGCAGCAGGCTCAGTATGAGCCAGCAGTGTGCCCTGGCAGCCAAGAGGGCAAACCCCATCCTGGGAGGCATCAAACACAGCATCACCTGCCAGTCAAAAGAGGCGATTATCCCACTGTACTTAGTGTTGGTGAGGCCTCACGTTGAGTACTGTGTACAGTTCTGGTCTCCACAATTTAAGAAGGATGTGAAGGTACTCAAATGCATCCAGAAGAAGGCAACAAAGCTGACTGAAGGGCTGGAAGGCATGTCCTATGAGGAGTGGCTAAGGACTCTGGGTTTGTCTGGTTTGGAGAAAAGGAGGCTAAGGGGAAACCTTGTTGCTCTCTACAGCTTCCTGAGGAGGGGAAGTGGAGAGGGAGGTGCTGAGCTCTTCTCCCTGGGATCCAGTGATAGGTCCATGGGAATGGTTCAAAGCTGCACCAGGGTAGGTTCAGACTTGACATAAGGAAACATTTCTTTACTGAGAGGGTGGTCAAACACTGGAACAGGCTTCCTAGAGAGGTGGTTGGTGCCCCAAGCCTTTCAGTGTTTAAGAAGCATTTGGACAATGCCCTTGATAATACGCTTTAACTCTTGGTCAGCCCTCAAGTCTTCAGGCAGTTGGACTAAATGGTCGTGGTAGGTCCCTTACAACCGGAACTATACTATTCTATTCCGTTCCATTCCATTCCATTCTTTCCAGCCCTAGTCTGTCCCAAGTACAGTGATCCTACCAATTTACCTGACCAGTTGAGGAGCAAGACAAAATCACTTTGCTGATGGGGTCTGTCCTTAAGCCACCATGTGGCCATCACTCTTCCGGATTAAAAATCAGACATTTGGGTTTCTTCAGCCAGCCATGTATGTTTATACCTGCTCTTCTAAAGCCTACTTATAGGTTCTAAAGCCTGCTTATAGGTTCTGTGATAACTGCAGTGCAACTAGTGGCTGTAATTGGTGGGAATTCTGCATATCTGAAAATAGTATACTAAAGGTTCTTGGAGCCTAATGGGAAAAGAGCATGGGAAAATCTAAAGAAGCATCTCTTGTTGCCTTAAATAGCTAAGGTAACTTGGTTTGGAGTCAGTTTTGGTTTACCTCCAAATTCTGTTCTGTATGTTTTTGTGATGTTTTAGCCCCTGAAAGAACTGCATCTGCTCCTGGTCTTTATTTCTGTACCCTCACAGCTTTAGCACAAAGAGTTCTCATCCCAAACCCTGCACATTTAGCAGCAGCGCTGCTCTGTCTTTGGCGTGAGGAATGATTGTAGATGTAAGCTCTCACATCCCCATTTGGAGGAATTAGGCTGCTGCCCAGTTTGCCTGGGAAACAGGCAGAGTCTGTAGAAAACTGGATTGCAGAGAAGTGGAGTGCTCTGATGTCCCCTTTGAACTGTTCATTAGCTGTCAAGAGAGTTATGGCCCACTGTTTTCTGGTGCCATGTTTATGGTATAGACTTGTTAAGGCTGTGGTTTAGTTGTGGTACTTGTGGCAGTATCGACCCTCTTCTTTTGCCACTCCATCTCTTTGTGCAATAGGAAAGGACATGTTCCCTCCATGCCACCAAGCAATGTTTAAAGTGCAAGTTCTCCATGCTCTTGCATGGCTCTCTCAGGTGCAGGTGACCATATCCTTTGAAAAACAGCATTTATTGTAGTCTGCAGTTGAAGGCGTTAGTGGCAGGGTTGACGGAAGCATCGTGTCCTGCTACCTGTGACTATGAGGTGGAGCCCCACGGTGTCTTGGTGTCTAGGGGAAAACTGGTGACCAATCTTTTTTGCTCAAGCAGTCAGTGGCAATCATTAGAACACTGAGAGAGCTTTTACTGCTGCTGTCCCATGTGTGAGTGTAAAATAACCTAAGGAATCACCAGAGTGTACACGATTCTGCAAAGTTCCATCTCTTTCTTGGGAAATATTGGCATGTTTAAGGATTTTGCTCTCACAGTTCAAGGCTGCCTGCCTTTCCCATCTGACAACACCTCCCTGGTGGCCTCAGCATGGGCTGAAGACTGGGAAGGATGCTGGTTTTCAAACTGTGTCTGGCATATATCATA